CACCCACCACAACCACCACTACAGGCCAGCACCCACCACGCCAAAGCCCACCACAACCACCGCCCCAGCCAAGCCAACACCCACCACACCAACATCTACCACTACAGCCAAGCCAACACCTGCCGCTACAACATCAGCAAAGCCAAAACTCACCACTACATCACCAGCACCTACCACAACAGCAAAGACACAACCAAAAACTGCCACAACCACAAACCCAGAACCCACTGAAACAGAAAGACCCAGTCCTACTGAGGCAACTGGGCTAACTCTTTCCTTTGAGCCCACGTTAGACCTGGATTATGAAGTATCTCCAGAAATAGAGGTAGACACTGGAGAGCCTGTTAGTCCCTTAACTACAGAGAATCCAGCCTTATTAGAAAGCATGGACACAGCCTTCAACCCCAAATCAGTCCCAGAAACAAATAAAGGGGTCAAAGAGGACGGGAAAGAGAAATCAGCCTTTTCCAGTCCACCTCCATCCCTCAGCCAGATTGTTCCAGAGATCAAGTTAGGTTTCAATAAAGCTGAGCTCATAACCCCCTCAAAGCCAGTGGTCTTCAGCCCTGAAGAGCCCACCTTCTTGCGCTTAACATCATCTTCCAGAGAAAAAAAAGGGCAGAGCCCTGCTTTCCAGACCTCCCTCTCAGGTAAGGTAATTGTGGAGTCTGTCCTGGCATGGACCCTCAGACATTCAGTGATCCCCAAGCAGCATGGAGAGCGCTTGGGAGGAACCAGTATCGGACTGGTCCTCTGGATCCTCTTCTCATATGTGGCACCAACCCTGTTCCTCACTCTTTCCTCTAACACTGAAAGGGGCTGGTTGGATGTCTCGTTCGTGAAGCATGGTTTTGTTTACAGCCTGCTCCCCACTAACCCACCAGCTGTGTCACGCCTTCGCTGGATCGGTGCGCTGCTACCTCGCGGTGTCTTGGTGCACGTCACTGATGGACCTGCATGAGCGGGAGTTTCTCTTTTGTCCAGATCTTCGCCTCTAACTCCACGTTTTCTTCTCTTCTGCCAGCAGGTGCCCTGGACGCTGAAGAACTGGAGACAAGCTCAGACCAGACAAGTGTGGATCAGTCCACGGCTGGAGCCCCCAGTACCTGCTTGGGGCTTTCACTCTTCCTCCTACCCAGTGTCATCCTGGTGGGCCTTCTACTTTGAATGGTCTTTCTCAGCTGTCTCTGCACCAGTCACCAAGGCTTTCTTCAGCATTGGTTGTTCCACAACCCTGGTAGGCTTGGGAGACACCATGGACAATTCAGGTTGACATGCTCTCTTCTTACGCTGCCTTACCTGCTCCAGCCCCGACGAGCCAAGGGCAGCTGGCAGTCCCATGGGAACTTGGTCCCCTTCCTGAGGAGACCCAAGGGCAGGAGGGTGTCTGCCATAATGCTGGTGACCTTGGATGCTTCTCCCTTCTTCCCAGCCAGCCTGGGCTTCTGGTCTGTTTTCAAACTGGAAATGATGAGCTATCCCACCCACCTGTGTGGCTGGCAGGCCCCACCATACCGTGTCCCCAGGGAAAGCAGAATGATTTGGAGTGGCGATGAGACGTGATCATTGGTTTTGGTGTTTGTCTGTAGATGAGACATGGTGGTTGCGTTTGGTGTTTGTCAGGATGAGTTTCCAACAAAAATGCTCTTTTCCCCTCCTGATGTGTCTGTTTGTCTCAATTTTGGAGAAGTTTCTTCTCTTTCCTTCTTGTCCAAAAAGAGTGGCGCTATTTTTTTTTTCCCCACGGGAGAGGATTTCTATTTCCTTTCTGGTTCTGGTATAGCTATGGCCAGTACTACCCAGATGTACTCCTTTCTCCTCCTCCTCATACCTCTGCAACCCTTGCCTCCTTCCTCTCTTCTGCTCTCTACCGCATGTACCCAGTCCACAGTTAGTCCATTGCCATGACTTTATTTTACGCGTGTGCCTGCACCTGTGTGCATGCATAGAAGAAAAACCTTCAGCGCTGAAGAGGAGTTACCGGCTCCTTCATACAGCTTTCTTCTGCATGGCTTCCTTCTTTGCATAACTTCAGTGTATTTGAATTTAGATACAGATCCCGGTTGACATATATTTTGCGTGTGGTGGAACCTGGTCCAGGAGAAACAAGTCATCACGTGTGCTGGTACAATTTGAGCTCAAGAGAGCCAGGTGAATGATGTTAGAGGTTACCAGTGGTTCCAGGACTCGTTGGAGGACCGCTTTCATTGTCTGGGACACTGTGTGTTTTATTCCCCCATGTCTCTGCTCCCTTCGCCTGAGGATTCCCAGTAAGGTGTGTTAAATATGTGACAAGCTTTGCAGACCGGTGGAAGGGACTAGGAGATACAGTCCCTTCTCTGGTTGGTGCGTCCTTCGATTTCTTAAACAGATGAGGTGGAGAATGACCTGAAGGCCAATATTCATGTCCTCCCCCATGATGCTGTGTCCCGTGCATCCCCAGAGCATGCACTGAATAAATCCTGTTGTGAAAGTCTGTTGCGGGGTGTGCAGTGTCTCGCTGGGGGATCTGGAGGCTGGGGGCCTGCTTATTACATCTGTAAAATGCTCTTGATTGTGTGCTTACGTAGAATTGCCAGAAGACAACGTGGCTCCTGGGGGGGTGCTGAAGGGGTTTTTTTGGCTTTCCAAAAGCATCTGGGTGCCGGTTTTTGCAAGGTTGCAACTTAATGTTTTTAAGCCTGTGTAAAAGCAGCAGAAGGGGGGAGGAGATTGAGGATGACGCAGGGAATATTCCCTGAGCGCCCAGCTGAGTGCAAAGCAAAAATGTGTCCCCACCAGGAATTTTTGGGCAAGGAAAGCAAGAGGAAGAGAGCTTGGAGGAAAAAAAAAAAAGAGATCAAAACTGGGGCTGGAGCGCTTCTGGCTCCCTGTTTTGAGAGGCCCAGCAGCCAGCCCTTTCCCACCCCAAACACACACTTTTTCATCTTTGCAGCAAAGAAAGAAGTTAAATGCAAGTGTGTGTCCCCAGATCCCGTGTTTCTGCAGCATTTTCGCTGCAGAACATCACCCAGCTGCGAGCAGCACGCGGGGAAAGGGCCTTGCGAGGCGTCAACTCGCAGCACAGGAGCGACGCTGGGATCAGACCTCTGCTTTTTGCTTTTCCCCATCCTTCTGCCCCTGCTTTGCCTGGCGAGGCTGCCCTGCGGCTCTGCCTTTCCCTTCTCCCTGAAATCCTGCTGCAGGAGCCCAGCAGCACCAGCTCTCTTACAGGAAACCAGCTGCCTGCGGGGTTTTTTTAGGTCACGGTCACCACTAGCCCTGCTAAACGGTGACCGGCAGATGGCAGTGGGAGAGACACCGCAGAGAACTGGGCAGCTCTGAACTCGCTACGCAGAACCCCACAGAGAGTTTAGTGCTTTATTTAATCACAAGCATCAGATGTAGTTAAGATTCAGATTAAAAATAACCTCCTGCCCAGGTGCCGTGGCTGCTGCATGCTCTCGTTGCAGGCAGAGCTCCTGCTGCTGAGCTGCTTTCGGGGAAAAAAAATCCAGCCTTGGGTTAGGGACAGATGATAGAAATGATTCTATGATTCTATGAAATACAGCCGGAGCGGCTGCTGTTCGCCTGTTGTAAGGGGCGAGGGTTCAGGCAGGGATGGAGCTGGGAGACCATTTCAGGATGGTGACTGTTTTTGCATCTGGGTGAAGGAGACTGTAGCATTAATTCCCTATAAGCAATAAAAAGAGCAGAAAAGCATTTCTCCTCCCAGCAAAATCAGGGCATTTGGTCAACACCTGATTTTTTGCAATGCTGGATCCTCCACCCTGCTGAGAGCCATCACAGAGCTGGGAGCAACAGTGCTGCTGATTAACAGCATTAGCAGAAGACCATCAAAATAATTCTAGGATTTAAATATTTTATCATGATTTTGGGGCTAGTGAACCTTGTAAAAACTGTTGAGTTTTGTTTTCCTTAAGGTTTTGACTTCTGGAGACACGCAGTTGTGCAAGGACCTATTTATAGAGTTCCTTGTAACAGAAAATTCAAAACCAGAAAGCAAATCCCCTTTCCTCTTCCCCCTGCACCCCAGGACAGCGGGGCTGAGCCCTGCCAGCACGGGCATTTGGGTTGGTTTGGTTTAATCCTAAATTAGGGGGGGGTTAGGGAAGGAGGGAAGGTGACTGCACGGCAAGGGCAGGGTATGGTGTGATGCGCAGGGGAGGACACGAAACATTCAAGGGAGACTTTTGCAGCATTTCCACACCATTTGGGGGGTTGGCATGAAGGATGCTCTGGCAGCAGGCAACTCCTGGAGGGGAAAGGAGCCAAGACCCTGGCAAAGATGCTGCTGGGTCCTGGCAGCCCCATAGCCGTGTGTGGTAGGAGGAGGAGGAGGCATTTAACCACCAGCTGTGGTCAGTTGGGTTAAAATCATGGGATTTGTGGTGTTTATAAGGCTTGGCTGCTGCATTAACCCCACCTGCTTGGTTCCCTGCCCCAACCCCAGGTCCTGTTTCCCAGCAGGGAGAGGGACATGCCCGCTGCAGGTTGAGAGGTCACTTAGCTTCGTGCTCCTGAAGCTCCCCTGAACATGGTGAGTCGGAAGGGTTGGAACAAGCATGTGCACCATCCTGGGGGATTTGCAATTGGGGCCATGATGCTGGTAGGTCCGGCTAGCTGCCCAATATTCCCTCTGAGTACTGGGGCTGAAAGTGCTCTCGTCCTGCAGTGTCCCCAGGGGTGCCGGTGGGGACCCACCTTTCTCCCTCTTGTTTCCTGGCTGCTTTTTGCTAAAAGAAGGTGCCTGCCCCTCCTCACCATTGCAGCCAGTGATGGCATTGCTGCCACAGCGCGGCTGCCCCGCTGAGACGTGCCTGGGCATCCTGGCCAGCGAGTTAGCTGGGTGTCCCAAATATCCATAGTTATAAGCTCAGACAGCCTGCTAACCCTCCTGGGCAGAAGCTGCCCTTTCCCGTATACCAGGAAGCATTAGAAAAAGTAAATATTGCCTTGCCAGGTTTCTGAGCCCTAGTTGTGATTTATCAGAGACAAGACGATGGGTTAGTCGAGCCTGGAAGTCCCTGTGTTCTGCTGTTGTTGGTATCGGAGTTATAGACGTGCTTATAGCGAGGACTATCCAAGGCAGAAAGAAGCCCAACCTGCAGCCCTTGAGCTGACTGAGCGTGAGGAAGCAGGTTAGGGCTTCGTGATAGGATTCGGGTTGGCCCAGGAAAGCACATACTGACAGCCAAAACGGATGGTCTCAGCTGCTCGGCCAACCCAGT